TCTTCAGCCTAATTACACGTTTACGCGGATGACGATAGCACACTTAGATTTGCACTGAAATGAAACGCGATTGCATTCGATTATCTTCGAATATCGATACGTCTTCCCCTTTGGCTTCTCTTCGACAGAATAAAATTTGTCGGGCATTGTTACTGTACTCACGAGATAACCGAGGGAAAAATGTCTGAAAGATAAAGAATATTTATTTAACGAATGTATGTATATATTTACCTATAAATTTAAATTTAAATTATTTTATTTAAATATAATAGAATAAACGATTGCTTTTATGAAAATCTATCGGTTTTATAAAAATGCATATTTTCTCGTTCGAAAACCATTTTTTCTCACTGTAAGAATATGTGTATATTGGTATAAGTATGTTATTAGTATTCATCGAATATATATAAACATTTTTTTATTTTTTAGATGATATTTCTTTCATTGTAATTATTATTCCATATTGTCCCGATTATCATTCTACTTCACTGTCGCCTCTTTTATTACGATAAATATTGTTGAGACAGTTTGAGACAATTTGGGACAACGCTCGACTTTTCGAAATCGAAATGTCAAGCGCCAACAAACGAGGTGTGTTTCACGATCAGCGATGGCACTCGATTCTCTTCAAGTATCGACAGCTCCTTCTTTTTGGCTTTTACTCAACGAAAACTGCATTTGTCGGAGATTATTATTTTTCACGATATTACGTTCTGTGCGTTCTATAATTACGTTCTATAATTAGTTCCACGAGCCACTGGATAGGTTTTATCGCATCAAGTATCAATGAAACACGTTTGATCAACTTTCCTCGCATTTAATCCTCATTGAATATCGACGAGTCTTTCGTCTTGGTTCTTCCTCGACAGAATGCATATATCGGGGATTATTACGCTGAAAGAGAGAAAGTGTTACGTTCAAGTAAATATTTGCTAAAGAATATTGGAGTGATTATTTTACTTTGGGTAAATATTATTTGAATGTAACACTTTTTTTTCTTGTATTGTGTTACATTCAAATAATATTTAATTTACAAATCATTTATTTAATCCAATTAAAATAATTACTCCGACATTTTTTAGCAAATATTTATTTGCATATAGCACTTTTTTTTCTTTTAGTGCATTGTTCTGGTAGTTATTCCAGTGGACATTAACTAATAATAACATAACATTAATATTATAATTTCCCACTTACCAATGTAAGTGCAATATAACGCGTATGTTATGTAATAATTACACTGTTGTTAAGTGGAAAATTATAATATTGATGTTATGTTAATGTTAGTGTTCACTAGATATTATTGTTTCATGCGGAGAAAAATAATTTACTGGCACAGCAAATTTTATGCTGCAGCAGTAAAATCTGTCGATTACTTATGTGGACAGCAAAACGATTTGTTAAGACTTATTAAAAGTATTAGTTAAAATTTGTCGGATTACTTTGCTGAATCTACAAATTATTTTGTTGTAAGAACAAATGAGTAAATATAGAAAAATACTATTTTGCCTTAACAGCAAATTAACGTGTCTCAAGTACAAATTCACTTAGTAAAATATTTTCTATCCTGGCAACAAAATTGTTTTGTGTTCTAATTACGAGTGATTTGCTAATTTGATTATGTCAACTAAATTTTATCGCTGTCGCAGCGAATATGCAGTAATAACTGAATGATTTCTTTACAGGAGCAAAATTATTTTTTCCGCACGTAATTAGCTCTACGAGTCACTTCTGGCTCTATCATTATTGCTATGACAGATACCTATCGTTGAGACGGTTTGAGATTCATTTCAAGAATCAAGCGCCAACGAAACGCGCTTAATCGACTTTCTTCGCGCTCGATTCCGCCCGAACATCGACGCGTCTTTCTCCCTGGCTCTTCCTCCAGTCAGAGGTTATTACTGTTTGGTAATTAGTTCCACAGTTGGCCTCGTTATCATGATAGATACACGTCGTTGCGAGACAGTTCGGGAAGATCGATTGAAGAAGAGAAAAGAAATATCAACGGGGAAAAAGGACGCGTTTCGTGATCGACTCCGCTCCGAGTAGCGACGGCGCATTTTTCTCCTTCTCGCGGCTCTTCCTCGACCTCCGCCTTCGTCGACGAAGCGGTCGTCCCGATATCCACGTTATTGGCGGCTCCGCCGCGGACGGACTCGCCGTAACGGACCTGTTCTCGCCATTTTTTTTTGGGACCAGGGGTTTTTGCAGCCTCGAGGGGGTCGATCGGATCGGACGGTCCAGCGTGACCGCTAAATTCTTAATGCGACGACCTGTCACACGAACGATGGTACCGGACCTCGCAAATTGGACGACGAATAGCCGGCGGCCGCACCCGGCTGCTAACCGGTTAAGTCCTTTTGACTTCGGCTCCACGTGCGCGACCGAACGTTGATCGGCGGGAGCCTACTTGCCTACATTCATAGACCGTCAATCGTGCCTCCTCGGCACCGGTTGCTACATTACCGCATAGACGGTATCATCTCTTCTTCTCTCTCTCTCTCTCTCTCTCTTTTTCTCTGTCTCTCCGGCTTTTCTCTCTCGTGCGCGTTACACGTTAAAGCGGTCGAGAGCGCGCGAGTTGCGTTATCCTCGTCATTATATATTATCGAAACCGGAAAATGGTCCGGTTCTCTTACTCGGACAGGCTCTCTTAACACATTGTTAACCGTTTATGACTTGCGCTTCGTGTTAGATTCGAAGCATTACTCGTTCGTTCTTTTATGAGCGGCATGAGCACACTTCAACTGGGACCTCGGTGTAACTCTGTTGAATTTGGGATGTTAGTGGCGGGAAATCGGAAAATAAGGCCGATATTACGTATCTCCGGAAGCGCGGAGAAACCAGGCTGACCGCCCGATCGGCGATCCATCGGATGTGGGATGGGTAGATTCGAGCGGTCGGTGATGTGTTAACTGGAAGATCAACGATTGAAAGATACAAAGAGAACGAGAGAGAGAGGGAGAGAGGGATAGAGAAAGAATTCGAACGCGAGGTACATTTCGATGGCTACGAAGCAATACCTCGAGTCTCCAGAAACGACTATTTCCGGATTTCTTGTGCAGCGCACTCAGAATCTTTTTTTTCTCGATTTGTGAAAGTTCATATCTGAATACAGGGTTATTCACCGGAGAACTGGACAGAAGTGACATCTTGTATTTTTGGATCATTTACAGCATAGTAAACGTTCACAAGTTTTTGTTTTTCTTCTAAATTTCTAGGTTTTTGTTTTCTTTCCCTCTCCGCGTCATCATTTTCGCTACACTTACGACGAAAACATTTCTTTTTTTGAATTTGCATCTCAGGCTGTCTGCCGTTAAAGAGGTTTATGGGTTTATGGTCACATTGTCTCCTTCTCTCTCTTTCTCTCTCCCTCTTTTTCTTTCTTTCTCTCGAAAAATCTCGAAAGAGATCATCCCGTCGCGAGGTGTAGCGATCACAGTTAAAATCCGCACGTTCACGAGACGTTTCCGCGATTCTAACGAAATTCGGATCGCGCCGATAGACGGTGACGGCCGTGGCTCCATGTTCGCAACGAGGTAACGGAGCGAAAACCCGGACATTCGAGAGGAATTTGGGACAGGTGGCCTAGTGGTTGCGCGAGGCGAGCATGTTACCTGATAATTAGCGATCAAACATGGGCGAAACGAGCGAAACGTTCGACGGGCCGCGTTCCTGTCCCTTTTACGCGGACGCATGTTTTACCTGCCTTGTCGTGAGAACGATAGAGAGCGGAAATGAGCGACCGGTCAACGAGAACGTCTGTCTCGCGTCTAAATCGCAAACGTCGTGAAACTCTCTCTCTCTCTCTCTTTCTTTCACGAACTTTTGCTTACGACCGGGGCTCTTACGGAGGCTTCCTTCTTTCTCTTTCTTCATTCTAATTGCGGACTCGGTAAAACTCTAATTACAGATCACAACTGCATCGAGCGGTCGGAGGTTACGTCGCAACAAGAAGGAGATCGCGCGGGATCGTTACTACTGACTTGGCTGGTGCTGCGACAGCCGGTCTCTGATCGGTTCAGTGGCACGATCGATACCCGATCATCACGATTATCATTACAGGTAAGTCAGGGTGTACTGCTCAATACATAATCCTGTTCGATATATTAAATCGCTTATCTTTGCTTACTAATAACTTTAATAGTAACACACTGACCTGTATCATGTGTCATTACCCTTCTTCAAAGGTGCTATTATCAGCTCAGTGAACACCAACTAACAGTAACATGACATCAATATTATAATCTCCCACTCAATGCAAATGAAATATAACGCGTGTATTATGTAACAGTTACATTGTTGAATGGGAAATTACAACATCGATGTTATGTTATTGTTAGTTGGTGTTCACTAGGAACGACCTAAATTTTACATCATCTTGAAATAATGCTTTTATTTTCTTCATTATTTTAGTATTTCAGTAGTTTTTGTGTTATGTTTGTTTTCGTGTCATATCAAAGAAGAAAGAAAAAAATATTTCCTTTCCTTTTTTCTTTTATAATATAGTATATCCTTTTTCATTTCTTTCTTTCTTTTACACATATATATATATATATATATATATATATATATATATATATAACAATGTGATTGTTACATGCAACGCATATTATACTGTATTTATGTTGTCGAGCGAGAAATTATAACATTGATGTTATTAATAGATGTTTGCCAGATATATATGCATATTTTTTCTGTTCTTTCTTTATTATTTCTTAATTTTTGGGATGATATTTCTTGCTAATAAATAAATAAACACATCGAGTCGTATCGCAAAATCGTAAACGTTTGTTTTCGCGTTTCAGTTGTTGCGTATTTTCTCTTTTCCGACGGAGGATTCTCGTTTGGAGCGAGAAGGAGCGAACAAATATTTGTTTAGTATGTAACAATCGTATGTAAAATCGACGCCACAGATTCGAATTGTATTGTATTTAGGCGACAGATACCGAGATTACGAAATGTTTTGACACTATATCGAATCTGTTTTCAGTGACACACGTAGGGTTTCATCGTGGACGCCAACGCGGTATGCAGTTACGCATCTACGTTTTAGCCTGTCTCCTATTAAAGGGGGTGAGTATATACTTTCGTTTCTCTCATTAATTCTTTCGAACGAGGTCCCGTCGATTTCTTCGTTGTTCTCGTTACTTTGCGAGATGTAAGAACCGCAATGGCTGTATGTCAACATGTTGACTGCCACTTTGATTTCCGTCAAACATTTTAAAGTTTAAAAGGATGGTACAATTGAAAACTTTACCAACGAACGCTGATCTTTCTGCCGCCTTAGTTGTACAGAGAATGATAAAGTTTTCATAGAATAAAAATATGTGCAAAAATAGTATGCCGTGTAAAAACTAGAAAACCGAAAAAAGTTACTTGTGGTTAGCCCTGATATACCTTTCAAGAATTTGCCTTAGAGGATTTAACACTAAAACTACCGACGATTAACGTGCACCTTCCTACCGGAGCAGTTTAAATAAGATTTTTGAAAGAATACGTAATGCAAAGAAGACAAATATTCATTCGTTTACATATTGCGACAGAAACTACGGGGAAATCTCAGGGGATGCCCTATTAAAAACTGAAGTAACTTTTGTAAGAAAAAATTACCGACCGGTCATTTGACCTGTGGTAGGTTTAGTGTTAAATAAACACTGATCTTCCCCTCTCTTCCTCCCCCATCTCTCCGACAAATCGATCGATCGGACGATCGAAGGCAGTAACGGCGTCCGTCCGAAGCGATCGCTCGTTCACCAAGAACGAAAGAATGACGACGGTGAGATTTGCGGTGCGGCACGTACATACGTATGTACTATATACCTACATGTACACGCGGGTACGCGACGCAGGGTAGCTGCGCATCGACCGGAGATCTCGTCCGGGACGATCTCGGCCGGTTAACGTGGGGGATCTCTCTCGGGGAGGGAGACGGGGGATAGGTCGGCGTGTCTGCGTAGGTAATTACTACATTATAACCCAGATATCACAGCGGCCAAAGCGGCCCGGCCAATGCCGTTACCGCCGGTGCTCTGACCCAGAGCTAAGGGCGACTCCGCGCACAGCCCGGCCGGCCCCGTCGATGTCTCGAAATGGTGCGCGCGAGCGTGGCGATCCGGCTCGTCCGCTGCCGCCGTCTACTGTTCCCAAGTAACGTTTCATCGCCGTCGTCGTCGGGGCCGCTCTCTTACAAGGTGGTGCGCAAAAATCCCGCGCGCGCGCGGAACGACCGGTTTCTTCGCGCGCGTGCGATTGTCGGTGTACCCTTTCCGTTCTGCATTCCTGTGGCCCGACACGATTTTCGATGCGTCCGCGTCGTCGTCGTCTTCTTTATTTCGCGCTCGATGTCTCGCACGACGATTATCGTTAGCCTTATAAGAGCCGCGCGCGCGAGATAGAGCGGGATGAATGAACCGTCGTTACCGCGCGGGGAAACGGTGCATTCCTTCTTCGTCGACGATACACTGTCTCTTCCCCCCCNCCCCCCCCCCTCTCCCCCTTCTATCCCCCTTCTTCCTATTTCTGTCTCTTTTTCTCTTATTGCTGACCTCGGCGCATTGTCACTTACTTATGTCCCATCAGATTCCTACGCTGTTATTTCTTTATCGCGTCTCTCGGCCGCGTCTCAGAATTTGACACCTTTACATGATCAATTAATCATATCTCGAGGGTATATCCGTTCTCACAATTAACACACAGCTGCGTTTCAACACTGTTTCTGCGTGCATAATTTACCATTATAATGAATGATAATTTTGCAGGCTCGATACCGCACGTATACCTTCTTACGTACTGAATTCGTACGCTCGAGGGAAATTTTCCCAGAGCGTTAAATAAACAATGCTTTTTCCTTATATTCTCTCTCTCTCTCTCTTTCTTTCCTTCTCTGTGTCGATCGCGTAGGAATTATGCAGGCTAACGGACTATTAACCCGCTATGTAGCAATTGTTTGTGGGTGATATGGAATTTGTTGTATTTCTTTTCTTCGCATTCGCTTTATACTGTCGCTTTATACTGTCATCATACTCTGTTATTCCGCTTAAGTTCGACTCAATAATAATAATAATATTCATCGCTATCGTTCTTACCCATTATGTACTTTTCCGATCTTTATCTTTTTCAATCCAATATACATGTAATACATATTTTCTCTTCTTCAATTTTTTCGATTCTTATTCTAGCACTTCATTGTGCGGGCATTTCACGTATGAATAAGACATAACGGAAAGAAAAGTAGACATTTTTGCAAAGCAGAAGTAGAAATGAAATTGCCCAATCAGTTGCTTCGCCCACGAAAAAAAGAAGATTTCATTTATAAGTTCCGACGTTCGCATACGCTACACCGAGAGAAATTCTATTAAAATAATAGTCGCTTTCGGGTCGAATTGCACGGGAAAAACTCGGTTTCTGCAAGTGAAGGAGGACCGGGTGAAAACTCGGGGTGGCAAGAAATGACATCTCTGTTCCCGCGATTGAGAACTTCTCACGAAGATTCGGCCGCATGGGAACTCGGCCGAGAGACAAATGGCTGAGTGGAAACTCCTGCAGGAATCTTTCTGTCCCTATGACCGAGTTTTCGTTCGGTTCGCAGACAACAGAAAATTCAGTTACACACTGAGGCCCGGTTGCACTCCGAACTGCGATTAAGCCAAACGACGACTAACTCTTACAGAGTTACCGACTGAAATTGCTATCTCGGAAGAAATGAAGGAAGGGAAGAAGTTAGAGGTATCAGTCGCGACCTCGTCCCTTAATCATCCCTTAACTTAATCGGAGTCCGACCGGGACTAAGGGAGTGCTTTCCCCGTCCGACTACGACGACGAAGAATGCACGGATCACCTCGGCATTAATTCATTACCGCAATGGATAGATCCACTATGGTGGTTGTACGCTCGCCTGTACGTGAAAACAACGTTTAAATACATTCGCCGAGCCGTCGTCGTCCGCAGGCAGGAACGTGTTTGACACGTAACGCGGCGCGACACGTAACGCATGGTTCGCCATTCACGGGCTGCCAGGTGCCGCGGCTGCACACGATGCGCGCGCGTCTTCATCGTCGCGGATCGCCGAGATCCGCGGCGCGGAGTGATTCAGTAGGTCTCTCGCTCGAATTATGGGACGCGCACACCGCGAAGACCCAGCCGGCGCGGGACAAGTGGAGACGCGCGCGACGGTCGGCCGGACGGGCCGACGGTTAGGGAGGGAGGGGGAGGCGGTAGGGAGGGAACGAGAAAGAGAGTTTCGAGCACGCTCGTGTGTGCGTATCCGAAGCGCTGGCCGATTGACCCGCGGCTAAAGATACGGGTGGTCCGTTATGCCCTAAGGTCACGCATGACGCAATCAGCCACTATACAGTTCTCTATACACATCGGTGCTCCTATTTCGTCGAGGACGGAACCCCCCTTATCCCTACCCCTACCGGCTCCATCTCTCCGATCGAGGCGTCCCGATCGAAGATCGACCGCGCGGGTCCCGCATTCGTCGAATGTTTCGAACGAGTTTGTCGCCGTCGGCGATTCGCCACCACCGTCGACGTCCTCTTCATCCTCCCGTCTCCTCCGCGTACTCGCTCTGTCGCGCCACCGGAAATAACTCTTTCGACCGCCGCTCCATTTGTCCGGCGATAATCGAACGAAGGAATCGAGCCCGCGTTTCTCGACTCGCGATTCCGCCGCACCTGACATACTTAGGTTTCCCCATTGAGCGCGTGAGAAACGGATACCGTTGCGCCGTGACTGTGCTTCTTCTTCGTTTTCGGCGCGCGAAAATTAGTATTTAAACCGACGCGACCGTCCGCGTCGCGCCGACGTAGTCGGATCGCATCACGGCGTGTCATAAATTAGTTTCGGAGGAGTCTGATAAATCGCCGTGTGTGTATGCGTGTGTGTGTGTGTGTGTGTTTTGTATTTTTATATACTTTGTTTAACCTCTTCGCGCTACTACCTGCTGCTGTAATAGCTTCCCCCGTTGAATGAGATTTTTTTTTAGAATGAAACGCCACTGCGACTCGCCCCTGTATATCGCTTGAAAACTGATGGATAGCTCGTCGTCGTCGCTGAACAGCAATTTACTCCCTTGCTTTGATATCGGAAAAAAAAAAAGTAAACAGAAAGAACCTTGCTCATTCTTAACCTCTCGCGACTAGTAACGAATCTCGTATTGATTGATAGCGAAATGATTGGCTATTGGAAATCTCGTAATGACAGATGATAGGTACTTTAAATTGATGATTCCGTTTATGTCGTATGTTTATGTTACTCGTAATATATATATATATATATATATATATTATTTATATATTTTTTTAATATTATTATTTTATTAAAAAAAAAGTATTTAGTTTTAAATATTCTAAGAACATTTTTATAATACGAATATTATGTGAAGTGGACATATAACATCAATAGAATATTCCTATAATATAAAAGAAAAGATTACATTACGCAACATTCTTAGAATATTATAAGAATATTATTTTAATATTGAACAATATTCAATAATATAATATTCTAGGAATATTACGCGCTTATAGGGTAATTTTCATGCTTTTTCTCCATCGTTACTTATATCTCAAGTCATTCTACGTATTCACAAAGATTCACCCAAATCGAAGAATCGCACCGTTCCTTCCGCCGGAGTTGGAAACGCGAATCTATTCCAGTCGCACGAGCTTCGCGCTAACGTCGAAGAAACAGCCACAAATCCCGGGACGAGCGGTTTCTCCCCGCTATCCCGGGGATTCCCGGCCGATATTCCGAACGACGCGTGACGCATTCGTATTCTTGCAGCTGGCTCGCGCCGAGGAGGTGGTCGAAGTCGTGGAAGCGATTCCGGGGGAGGACACTCGGAACGACAACTCCGCGCTGAATCGTCAGGACAACGAGCTGAACAATTCGGAGCAATTGACGTTGGAGAGCCTGGGGGACAATGATGCGGCCGGGAATCACTACAAGCCGGGGTCCGGGCTCCGGGGTCACCCTCTGTTACCGCCGGGTCGAGGGGCGCTCAGCATACCGCGTCCGCACCACAACGTCGCTTATCACGGCCCGCCGCCGCCGTTGCCGCCTTCGAAGACGCCGCCGGAGGCCATGGACAAGATCTACGCGACCGGCACCGGGGACGGCGTCGAGCCGTGGCCGGCGCCGACCCCCGACATGCCGAAGATCGTGTCGCTCGACGTGAAGTGCGAGAAGAGCCTGATGAAGGTCTACCTGGGCTTCGACAAGCCGTTCTACGGCATCGTCTTCAGCAAGGGCCACTACAGCAACGTGAACTGCGTACACCTGCCGGCGGGCCTCGGCCGCAAGTCCATCAACTTCGAGATCAGCATACACGCGTGCGGCACCGCCGGCAACACGCAGAACGAGCTGTACGGCTACGGTGCCGAGTCCGGCTCCGGCACGTACTTCGAGAACATCATCGTGGTGCAGTACGACCCGCAGGTGCAGGAGGTGTGGGACCAGGCGCGCAAGCTCCGCTGCACCTGGCACGATCTCTACGAGAAGTCGGTCACCTTCCGGCCGTTCCCGGTCGACATGCTCGACGTGGTGCGCGCGGACTTCGCCGGCGACAACGTCGGCTGCTGGATGCAGATCCAGGTGGGCAAGGGCCCCTGGGCGTCCGAGGTATCCGGCCTGGTGAAGATCGGCCAGACGATGACGATGGTACTGGCGATCAAGGACGACGACTCGAAGTTCGACATGCTCGTGAGGAACTGCATGGCGCACGACGGCAAGCGGGCGCCGATCCAGCTGGTGGATCATCGCGGCTGCATCACCCGGCCCAAGCTCATGTCCAAGTTCACGAAGATCAAGAACTTCGGCGCCTCGGCCTCGGTACTGTCCTACGCCCACTTCCAGGCGTTCAAGTTCCCGGACTCGATGGAGGTGCACTTCCAGTGCACCATACAGATCTGCCGTTACCAGTGCCCGGAGCAGTGCTCGAAGTCGTCGCCGTTCCTCGACAGCCAGGGCCTCCTGGAGAGCCACCATCACCACGCGAACGGCCATCCCGAGCTGGGCTTCGACCTGCCGCCGCCGATCCCGCTGCCGTTGGAGTCTTACCTGCAGGCGGCGGTGGCGGCGGGACGGCCGCGCGACGAGCGCAGGAGGAAGTCCCGCGAGATCGTGCACAATCCGCAGAAGGCGGTCGGCGTCAACCGGATCATCCGGGTGGTCTCGACCGGCGACCTCACTTTCTCGATCGACGACAACGCCGGCGAGCCGAACGGACCCACCATGGTGTTCCCGCAACGTCAGGAGACCATGATCTGCATGACCACCCCGGGCTTCGCGATCACCCTCATCGTGCTGCTCGCCGTTCTCCTCTCCTCGTGCGTCATGTCGGCCTATCTCTTCATGCGTCTCAGGCCCTTCTCAGCGCGCAGCAAGAAGTCCTTCTGCAACGCCGAGCAGACGAAGAAGTCCTCGAGGACGTGCTTCTACTCATAGGGACGGTTGGCGAGCGATCCGATATACACTCGCGCCGAAACCGGTTCTCGCAAGCGCCTCCCTGCCGTCGTCGGAGACGTCGTTGGAGGTCGTCGGAGGACGAGCGACGACCGGGTTATCAATCCCGTCCTCGAGGTTGCCGAGTCGAGGAATTAGCCGTAAGCGCGTGCATCAAGCTGCGATAAAGCCCGAACGTTTGCCCGACCGAAACCCGGCCGTAGCATCGAACCAGTCTTTTCACGTTTCATTCACTCCCATTGAGGACCGGCTTTGCAATACCGGCTCATCCATCGATCGGATTATGTCGAGCAACCGTTATTCTATACACTTTTGCGACTATTTTTTTTATGTGACGTCATTGTTGATGATAACGGGAGGAGGCGTGTTTTCAGTGCGCATCGATGGAAATTTCACTGTATTTTTGTTTATTCGTGACTTGACACTTCAAATTCCTTGCTTACCAACTAGAAACAGAAATTCTTTCGCGGGAAAAATACTAACACTGTTTACGAAAATTAGCTGAATCAGCTGAATAATCAAAAATATATTCATAACGTATGTCTATGCGCACGATGCGAACGATCAGAAAATCTAACGAGTTTCGGAACGGTAAACGTTAAGACTTCATACATTGAAGCTCATAGTGCACAAGTTTTGTTTGTACTTTTTTTTTTTTTTTCTTAATGTCTTTGGCCATTAACTGACAGTATTTTTCTATATTTTTCGGCGCTCAGAATACACATTGTAACAGAGCGGATCGAACGCAAAATACGGAGTACTTTCTACGAAAGGACTATCGAAATTTTCCGGCAGAATTGGTCTTCGAGAAATTTTCTCAAATCACTTTTAGGTCAATTGTTTTTTTTTTTCCGTAGAGGCTATCCGCACGATGGAGTACTATCGATACCGATATTGTCTTACAGCGGATAATACACCGCTTGCGTCACGCTTTCCGTTTGTTCCGTAATACACACAACCTCCTCGTGGAGTTGTGCTCCGTCGTAAGAAACTTCAGCTCAGGCCTGCGCAGAAGGCGAACGCACAGGCGATACGCCGAAAATTTAGTCAAAGATAATCAAACCTGTTTCAGCGTTTATTACCTACATATTCGTACTTAGTCTTCCTCTCCCTCTCTCTGGTTTTTGGTGACTTGGGACTCCTTTTTTTTTTTTTTTTTTTTTTAACAACGCTTACCCGATGCGGTAACGATAAGGCTGAAATTTCACGAAGATAGCCTATAATATAGCACTTAAGCAACACGTTAATATCTGCGTTATTGTTAATATAATATTACATTATTATTATTTATTTATTACTTTTATTATTATTATTACGTACACGTAAATCCATAAAGACACATCTTACAGGCTGAATCTCGTAGGCTGAATCTCCTATATGTGAGGTGAACGGATGAAATAAATTCATGAAATGTGAAGACACCATGTATATTCGTGCGTGCGTGTGTGTATCATTGTTTCTCTCAATCGGTGAATTGAATTGAATTAAATTCGACCAACGATGAGCACGTCGGTGAGCAATGTGCTGCGTCGAGCACGAGTAATATTTAATTGTGCGAAAGCATCCAATAAATATGTCATATTTTCAGTGACATTTTCATAGTTTCTCTTAAATCGCAAGAATGAAAGTTGTGCCAAAACCGTATGGTATATCATGTGAATTATCCTTATAATGAATAATAATACGACTCGGTGACGAGATAAATATTACAACTTTTCTCACGTATACCTTGAATATCAATTTATGAAAAAGAAAAAAAGTACAGCCGATAACGTTATTGCGACATTCAGTCCACGTTAATGCGGTCGACATAGTATTGCTAAGAAAATTAGTTATTAAAAATCCAAGGGAAGCTAGGCGACTCAATAAGTTATACACGTAATTGTGCAGTCATTAGTTTATATTCGCAGCGTGACCTATCTAGTGTAAGATAAACGTGTGTGTTTGAAGGTACGGAAGGTGTTCAGGAAGTCGCGCGAGTTTTCATCTCGCCAGTGTCCACGCTGTCTCGCATTAATCTACTTCGTTACTTCACTAATCGATCAGAGAAAGCGATTGAAATCAGTGCGTGCACTGTTGTATACGAAAAAAAATGATAATCGGGGCTCGATCGTATATATCCAAGGTCCTGTAAATATATTTATTGCCACTAATGTTTGTATCTATTGTATTGTTAAATAAAAATATAATCTTTCAACACACTCTAAAAAATAGTCGTATCTATCGCCTCACCTTTGCCCGGGTGCTCTTTCGCGTTCGATGCTTGCCGCTTGTTGTCGGGCGACGCCATTACTCGCCTCTATCAAATAACATTAAAACATCTTAAGATGTCGGTAAAATCATATTGTAGACAAGTGAGACGTCTAAAGGATGTCTTTCAGACGTCTTTTAGATATATCGTTGTCGTATTTATCGGTGTTTAGGCTGATTCTTTGAATATGTGATTCATATACGCTTAAATTAAAGGCTGCTGTTGCTTGATTCGAGCGCACGACGAATTTTTTACACGTATATACACGCACGGATTGCTTAAGGTCTACAACAATCTTAAATATTATTACTTGGCAATCCTATGAGCGCGTAATATTCCTAGAATATTATATGAATATTATTCCATGTTAAAATAATATTCCTATAATATTCTAAAAATGTTATTTAATATTTTTAATATTATAGAAATGTTCTATTGATGTTATATGTCCATTTCAAATAATATTCTTGGCATACAAAAGTGTTCTTAGAATATTTAAAAAAGAATAAAATTATAATAATATAGAAAAATATGTATAAATAAAAAAAAAAAATATATATATATATATATATATATGCGTATGTATAATTTTTTAGTATAAAACATATTTTTGCACAAAATTATTTCGATTTTATTTATATAATGAAACAATTAGTGTTGCAAATACATTTGAAGTAAAAAACCAGTTATATGTAGTATATATATACATAGAGTCGAATATTTAAAAAAATATGTAATATTACAATAATATATTAAATAATATTATTTTATAGCAATGGACATATAACCATCTATTAATATTCCAGGAATATTACTTAATATTAAATAATATTACGCGCTTATAGGGAACTTTTGCAGATGTTCGGATGAGCGAGTAAAGAAAACGTCAATTCGGGTCTATTTGTCTTGTCTGTTAACGTCGCTTATTGACGTTTTCTCTGATCAGTCCTAGAAAGAAAAAGAACGCTTTCATATACCAATGGGTAAGAATTTTTAAAGGGGATTCCCGCACAAGACATTTCTCGGTTTGGACTTTTCCAACGCGCTTACTTACATATATATATTGGGTATACAAAAAAATAAAATAAAGCAGAGAAACTTGATCATAAAACAAATCACGTTTGGGGCAATAAGAAAGGCGCGTTTCGCCAAACGCGCAGTGTTCTTTCATTCTCTCCTTCTCTCTCTTTTCAGTAACTCATATTCCTGCCAAATATATCGTACTCATATATCGTGCCACGATTTGGAACGGTCCATTCACATACGCGGAATTTAAAGAGGGATCGGAGGGAAAGGGAGAGGGGGGATAAAGCAAAGCACGAAGAAATGCTCTCTTGCACGCGCAAATCTCGCGGGATTTGTGGAAGCTCGAGAAGACGCAGGAACGGATGCGATAGGAATTAAACGTTTATTTCCTTCCAGTGTCAGTTCTTCCAATAACTGTTAACATATTTTCTATACACACCTTGCCACATCCGAGATAAATATTACTTTCTTTAGCCTCCTTATATAGAGCAAACCATTGAAACGTAACGACCACTGCATACATAAGAAAGAACCGCTGTAGAACCGAACGACTCGGCCTTAGAGACTCGTAAACGATAATAGTAGCTATTTAATTATCTAAATAAAAGAGAGAGACAAACACATTTATATCGATCTCGAAGGCGACGGCCTTCGTGACGCCGCCACCGTTGCTCGTCGATCGGACCGACGGAACGACGGAATTTCGCGCACACCGACCGGTATCCGGAGGACAGGTTTGCACAGGTGCGCGCCAAAATGATCCGTACCTGTGTATCTTTGTGCCATTTGTACGACGAAACATCATTCTTACGTGCTACACCGCTAAATGTAATAATTATGATTAATCTCGATATTATTTTCTTAGGTTACTTCCTCTCCACGATTACCCACACGATTTGTATTATTAGAACTAAGAGGCATCAAATCACCGCGAGAACACGACCTATCTATCTATCTATCTATCTATCTATCTATATATCTACCTATCTACCTACCTACCTATCTACTTATCTACCTGCTGACGATAAATTACTCTCGTGATTTTTCGTGCTGCCGCGGGTTTGATCCGACCTCCGAGTGTTCCCGAGGAAACGCTCGTTTATACTCATCATTGTCGGCGAGTCTATTCTGCAATTCCTGTAATACACGTTCACGCCAATGCGGCGGCCTTCGAACTCCTCTGATCTTCAGAGAGACACGTTGCCGAAATAGATTTTCAAGGAAAGAACGCGAGGAAGGTGGAAAGCGATTATTCGCATGAAACATCGTCACCATTTAACAGGTTCGCGACCAGCGTCACGCATGTGTAACCGCACCGATCTTCCATTGTTTTTTAAGCCCATCTTTACCTCAAATTTTCAATTTTACTTGACACGTTCCTCACCGGTGTCAAGTATGACTGACAGCGATAATTTTTCTTTCTATATCCACGCGAACAAATCAAATCTGTTTTATCTATGCACATGCAATTGCACAAAATCAAGTCTCACGTAAGAATTGTATGCCATTAGCCAGTAAAGAATACTGGCCCAGTACTGAGCCGGTGTCGAAAAGTGGACGTCATATTTTGGTACTGGCCCGGTATTGACCCAGTATTAAAAAAGCGGTATTTTCGATACTGATGTTAGGTACTGATTTTCGGTACTGGTTTAATATCGGCCCGTTTCTACTACCCCAATACCGAACTGATACTGGAATCCAGTATCGTATACCACAAATCGATACTGAACCAGTAACTCGCCGGTAGCAGATTCCTACTAGGGATGTAACGTGTTGCTCGGGAAAAATTCCCGAAGCGAGCCGTAGTTGCGAACATGTTAAACTCGGGATGAACAGAATTCACGGATGCGCCCGAACTCGTTCCGCCAGGTAAGAGCTGAAGAAATGTCGCGTGTTGGAGATTGAGGCGCCGCTCCGCGTCACGAGAGTCACAGAATAGCGTGTGCGTAAAGTCGTGTGTTGACACGCACCGAGAGACCGAGTCCTCGACGACTGCGATTCGCGAGAGAACTCAGTGTGGTCCTGGCGACTCGCAGGAGGACGCTCGAAGACACCGACGAGGCGAGACTATAGAGTGCTCAACATCAAGCGTCAACGATTGAAGGGTCAAGAAGAGGTCAAGTCGAAACGAAAACGTCCTTTGCCATTTTTCAGTACAAGCAACAGTTAACGAGTTATTAATTAATTCACTTTGGATGCACGCTTGATGCGCATCCTAATTGGTGAAGTATACCCAGTAAGCAAGGAATCGTTAACACGACATTATTAAATTGATATTTTATAACATGTAACGTTTTCAAATATGTGGCTCTTAATTTTGTATGCAGCATTACCGTTGACAATATTTGACCGAAACATTAAAAATAATGTTTCTACGCAATATAATTTTAATATTTAAAAATATAATATTATCAGTAACGGTTTAAAAACATTTGTAAAATATTATGTCAAAATGTTTATAAAATTCACATAAAACCAATGTTTTAAAAGATTGATTTCATGTTTCTCGCTTAGTGGGCATGTAGCGCCACGCGTTGGCAAAAAATTGAATATTTGCCTTTTGGACTGACTTTATTATCCTGATTGAGGAGGGTATATGAGGAGTGAGGGGGGAGGAAGCCAGAATGACATGTAATCTGAGGTTAAAACAAAGGAAAGAAGGATGATTAGGGGGAAAAGGGAGGATACTTCTTTGTTATCAGAATCGATGAAGTTAACCTAACAAGGGAACACCGGGATGCCTAACTTTCCGATTTGAATTAACTTTTCGATTTGAATTGCGAGTATGCAATGAGTGGTGTTCTTTATTCGTACCCTATCACCTTTTGAAGATATGATCTTCGACGCAAAATTCAAGAAAGTGCTTCCACTTTTTAGCAAATAATTTTTAAATTACACCAGACAATATTTCACCATTATCAAATACTTAATACCGTTACAATGTTTCATATTAACACTCTGATTTGCGAACCGCAATCGTCATTAGTACAGCTGTTCTCCTCCTCTCCAAATCAAAAAGCTCAAGTTCGTGATGCTTCTTTGCAAGGGGGTTCCCTTTCATCGGCGCTACTTGTACTCCGTCGATCGGAGCGCACTAAGCGTGAAACTTGGAACGAATGAACGACTCGTCAACTGTTGCTCGAATAAAAGGAGAAAAAATGACGGACAAATTTTCGTCTCGGTTTCGCTTCCGCCGCTGCGACACTCGGCGCTTGATACTTGGGACACCTACTGTGCGATACACCTGATCCCTTCCTTCTCATCGCTCATTGCTGAGAATTGTTCTCCTTCTCTCTTTCTCGACGTACGATCTCGACCTCTTCCGCACTTACGATACTTTGTACAGCGTATTATTGCACATTGTCTCTTCCCGGAGACGCATCTGGCGCGCGTCTCGTCGCAGCGGCCGCCGCCGCTCGGTCAGCCCCGCTCGACCGACGGATCGGCGGCGACCTGCGATACGTTCGTCGGCTGTTCCTGCTGCAGCTCGTCGGGATGGGCGGGCCGCGTGGTGCAGCGGACGCGAAGCAGGCCGTAGGGGAGCCAACCGTTGTCCGCGTGCACGCCGTTGTTGTTCTTCCTGTTGCCACCGGTGGCCTCCCGTTGCGCCTGCAGCCGGTGCAGCATCGCGCCGGCCACGAGGGCGGACACGACCGCCGAGAGCGCGACCACGATGAAGAGAGCGCTGAAGCCCGGCATCGGCAGGCAGATCCCGTAGACGACCTCCTCGCGTATCCTACCTTGGAATACAGTCACCGCCTCGGTGTGCGTGTCCGGGCTGAACGCCAGGTCCGCCTCGGAGATCACCTCGTAGATGCCGCTCACGCCGACGTCGGCGCTGCGCACTTTCCTGTCCGACACCACCATGGAGCGCCTTCTCCGGGCGGTCGCTGATAGCGGCAGCCCGCCGTTATCCTCTTCCAGGTTGCGCGGCCCGTGCGGGAATTGGTCCTGCTCGCTTTCGTATCTGGTGATCCGCGACGGTTCCTGGAAGACAAGCACCGATTGAGATTCTCTCGGCCGAAACTCGGAATCTTGGTGAAACTGTAATTTGTAATTGGCGATCTAACAAATTTGTAAATAATAGGTTTCACGACGGATTCGGATAAATTTTGATTTCTCGAGAGCCACATTGGGTTCACCATTTTGAATTTGGATATTATTAACCTTAAATTCATATTCAGCGAATTAAAAAACCCTTAAATACCGGCTTTCATAACGATCACACATCCTGTAAACACGTAATATTATTTAATATTAAGTAATATTTCTGGAATATTAATAGATGATATATGTGTTCTCATAACAATATTTAGAAAATAATATTATTTAATGTTATTTTAATATTATATATTTTGCTATATTATTATTATTATTTTTTTTTAATATTCTAAAAACATTTTTATGATATGCTAAGAATATTACGTGAAGTGGCCATATAACATCAATAGAACATTCCTACAATATTAAAAAAAATTACATAACATTCTTAGAATATTATAAGAATATTACTTTAATATTGAATAATATTCATATAATATTCTACGCGCTTATGGGGTACATTGACTTGAGGTGAAACTTGAACAAATGAATTTTGGTCAATAAATATTTATCGCAGACTGTACGATGGAGGGCGCGATGTTTTTGCGTTTACCATAAACGGCTTTGATATGTCGGCGTTATTGTCGGATTGAAGCTCGCCGTTCTCAGGCTGCTCGACCGGTGGGAGCCGATCGCTTGTCTGCGCCTGCGCCTTTGGGATCGACTTCTCCACGTCCAAGAAGTGGCCTCCGATCGACGTCATTTCGTCGCCGTTTTGGATCACATCGTCGTACAGCGAACCATCGCTCTGCTCCGCGCTGTTCGCCGCGTCCTCGTGCTCTTTGTCCGCGCTGCTGTTATCATCGTGGGGAACGACGGGAACCGGAGGGACATTTTGTTGGATGTACTGCGTCGGCACTTGATCTTTTCTCTCTTGAATGTAGTGAGCCACGGAACCGCCCAGTTGACAGTGATCCAGACAACCGTGTCGGCATATCTCCACCTATATATATATATATATATATATATATGTATATATATATACACACATATATTTTTTTAAATATTAAAAATATAACCCTATTGTATATTTAATATTAAACATTCGCAGGGTACAGGGACGATGTTTTAGGTGGCTGTTACACAATAGGTATTTTAAGCCTTAAGAAATTGGTCAATCACGATTGATTATTCTTCTATAATTCGATCGTGATTGGTCAATTCCTTAAGGCTTAAAATTTCTATTGTAGACCGGCACATACGCGAGCCACGTTTATTAAGAGTCCAGAAGTAAATTCCGGCGCGGATAAATAATAAGTTACATTAGTCGAATAATTCCCGTGATTGAATCGAATTGGTCGCGCCCAACACCTGGCGCAACGGATTCTTACTGGCTCACCTTCCTTACTAGCTGTTTACCTTCGCGAACCTTCACGAAATATTCGCTCGAAATCGTTCATCCCGCGCGACGAACGAACGGGAACGACTTCTGTCTCGGGTACGCCAAACCGTTACCTTGCACTTGATGTGAACGCTCAGAGCGTCTGGAAATTTGAAGGCGTGGAAGAAGGCGTAGGTGATGACGGTCGCGCGGTCGTCCGAGCCGCGCGCCTTCAGGAACCGGCTGATCATCTTCGGTCTCAGCACGCAGCCGAATTCGTCGCTCAGCTGTATCGTGTGACCACCGCCGTCCGATGCCACGCACGACTTGACCCGCATGTCGAACTCACCTGTGCCCGGTTTGGTTTAACAACAGTTCAAGTTAGTGCACCGTACGCCGGCCGGCCGAAAAGCCGAATTGTGCGTCGCTCGTTACCTCGGTAATCGTTTATGGCGACGACCAGAGTGAGAGTGGAGCCGAGCGGCACGATCCCGGACACCGGCGGCGCCCACGGGCCCTTGCCGTGTTGGATCTCCATCCAGCAGTCCACGTTGTCGCCTGCGACACACAGCGGCGGAAATGTGTCGCTTACTCTCCGAGTGGAAGTTCACGACGGAAACGAGTAACAAGCCGAATAGAAAAATCTTAGGGAAAATGTCTAGTCATCGGACAGAAACCGGACGGTTTTCACTGACTTGAATCGATTCGATAACAACTGTTCAGAAACTGACGGAAAAATACCGACTTTTATTTCCCGGCCAGTTACTTGCCGTAAATTATTCCAAAAGGAAAATAGTAAGTTGATACTGGACGGTTTCAGTTTCCAGCGGAAATTCTTGAAATTCTGGATAGTGCTAGACGAATCTCAACGCGCGCGACGTGGTGGACGGACACGAATTTGCAAAATATTTCGAGAATTTTTGCTGTAACCGACAGAAAGTAGCAGTAAAATTAACATAACGTACAGTGTACTTTTTAATTATGTGATTTTGCTGCGTTAATTTTACGGTTTTATCTCAATGATTATGGATTGGTCATCGAAAGAAACAAGGTCTTCGAAACGTTTATATTGATCTGCTAAATTAACGCTAACCAGTTGAATTTTCTGGACGACTCTTCGTCTTTATTTCAACGATATATACGTTTATATTGTCATGCATGTATCAACGAAGCATGCATTTTCCGATTTCTACCGTCGTCCTGTTCATATCCTATATTTCGAACGTCATAGTCAAGGCAGCTATGAAGAAACGGGAGAAACGGAAGCCTTGAAAGCTCCCGTAATTTCCCTCATGGATATTCCGGCGTCGGGCGTTTCATTCAGTTTCATATTCGGGCTTGTTATCTCCCGGGATGGTGTCTCGTGTGGTCGTGCACATCGCGCCGTCGCACGTGGCACGTTCGCTTCGCCGCGACGAGTACACACACGCTGTGTTGCGCGCGCGCAAACTGAAATTAACCGACGTGAGCGCGGTTTCTGCGGTCAACCGCGAATGCTCGCGCGCGAATTTTAGCATGCGGCTCGCGATCGCTTTGACCGTATTAATTTCACCGGTGGGGAATTGGCGTATACGTTACCGCGACGAAAAAGAAAGAAGGAAAGGAAGAAAGGCCGCGTCGCGTCGAAACTGCGGCCGTGATTGCTCGCGGTCCACTTTGACCGTAATTAGAGGAGATTATCTCGATATCTTTGTTCGTTCTTGAGTTATACATGCCTGCAAAATGTATATCGCGGCTGACGAATCGGGCTACTCCGTTTGTTAATATTTTAGTAAGTTTCTATACGTATATTTATCGTTGATATGTAATATATACGGCCTACGGATGGATTTCTCCTGTTCAATTCGTTTCTCTACCTGTAGTGACGAGTTAAATTTTACCGACATTTATTAGCTTCTCTCTTAAGCCTTTAATCCTAAAACAGATTTTTCATTTCAATGCTACCTTAAACAATCTATTTTTACCAAAACAACAAAAATAGATATTTAAGTCATCATTAAAGTAGGAATAAATTATATTATCATAATTGATACATTAAATGATATAAATAATTGATATGTTGCTATTTCAGCTCCTACTGTGTTGTAGAATTAAGGGCTTAACGTTTCGATATTTTAGGGATATTTCAGGAAAGTCCGAGAGCTTCGGGAATGCGCGCTTCGCGATTGCACTTTGAGCTGTTTACAACAACAGATGGCGATCGCAGATGCCACGCGGTAGTCTCGATAGTATCGCCGCGAGAGAGCCCAGGGAGAGTATCGCGGTCGGCGATTTATCTCTATTAAGAGATGGCGTTTGATGGGAGCATAATCGTAAGGCGCCAGTACCTCTGAAGTCCAGCTGTATCACGTCGAGATCCGCGATAACCATCGGCGGCTTCGACGCGGTCTTCTCGTAATCGTTGAACCATTCGCATCGCAATCGCTTAGCCTCGTCCCAAACCTCGAGGAGGTCCTTGTCGTACTGCACGACCACCGTGTTCTCGTAAAACTGCCCGTGCATGTCCGGCTTCGTCCCGCATCTGAGAAGTGACGTGAAACTTGGTAATTTTTCATATATTTTTTATACGCGCGACACACGGATGTAAGGCGGAACGAGCGTGTTTTTCGAAAAATGCGCATTTTCTCGAAAAATGTTTCCGACAAAAGTAGGGTTTTAAGTAACGCATTACACAGTAATATTGGTATGACTTTGAATAACGTTGTCAAGATCACGTTAGGATCAGCTTAAAATTGTTAAAAGTGGGAACATTATTTTTTATTAGATATTCCTGCGGCTTATCTCGAGAGCTTTTCAAAACACTATAATAAACGATTTTTTTATTAAACATTTGATATCACGCGACCGGTTCTTTCCTTTTCTCGCCTTGATACGATATATTTCTCACCGATGATACACCTTGCTCTGGCTTGCATTAACCGACCGAAGGGAGGAACACAGCATTCGATGGAGATTGCGAGCGCATAGCTCGTGGCAGGTAGACAGCGCGGTTTATCGAGATACAATGAGGCACCGGCGGAACAATCTCGCGCCTTAATATCGTTAATTCCAGGGCCACGGGAATAGGGATAAACGCGAGACGCAAAAGCACTGAGAGAGAGAGAGAGAGAGAGATTCGTTTGGCTCAAACGATACCAGAATTATACGAGGATAGATTGGAAAGTTTCCGACCTGACCGAGAAAGAGCGAGAGTTCAGTGAAATTTCAATATTTGATTCAATAGACGGCGCTGAAAGAAACACAAAAAGCTAAGTTCGACGTCGTTTTAGCGATTAGTTTGTTTCAGACAGCGCATTGGTTTGCGACACTGAGAAATTTGTATACACTCGTGTCTTCTCCGGGGAGGGGGGAGGGCGGTCTTGGCGAGCCACCGGAGTATATCTGTGCTTAAAAAAGGAACCTCTCCGGGAAGAAATTTTCGCCGGACGCTGAAGCGACTGGCTGCCGTTGATGACTGTTTCTCGAGTTTCGACGAAAGTTATTATGAAGGGATGAAAGGTCTGGAAGAAACGTTGGACCAAAGAGAGCAGGTTGAGAAATAAATTTCACTCGGCTCGAGAGAATATTTTTCCCCCAGGTCGGAAATCTGTCGATCCACCCTCGCACTTACGGAGACCCTTCTTTCCTCATTCGAGCGCTAATTCGTGGCTAACTCACATGGCGTAGGCTATCCGGAAGGAGAAGAACGTCTGGCCGGTGGACGGTGGCACGTAGACGCATCGTGGATCCGCGTGCTGGCCCTTGGACGAGACGATGCCTTCGAAGGGCTGCGAGAACGAAAGGTGGACGTCCATGTGGTCTTTACCGCACATCACTTCCAAGGACTGGATGGCCGGCATACCCTCCGGTCTCTCCAGCGGCCAAATGTCGCTGTTGCTACTGACGCTCCTCAGGCCAACCACCTGTGCGTTTCAAAGAATGCACACGTATGTATTCACTTTGAATCCGCGGCCTTCATTCTCTTCTCCCTCCCCTTCACCCCCTTTCCTCGCGCCGTTTCTCCTTAAACCACCGCTTTTTCCGCCGTTCCGTTCGTTTCCTGCCTCCATTGTCCGACACGCGCGTGTGTCTATTTACGAGGCGCGCGGCTACAAAGTTACGCGCGTACATGCGGCGATAATGATCGGTTGCGGCTGAGACCCGGTGAGGAAATCCCCCCGTCGGACGCGATTTTCAACGAGGGGTCACGAGTCGGTCACTGGGTCGGGACACGCGCCGGCAAAACTCGTCCGTATCCGGAAGAGACCCGCGCGCCCGAGCGGTTTTGCGTAGGTCACGGCTCTCACGGTGGGAATAATAATAATATCGTCAGTCGGGCGCGTCACTCTTGCGAGCGGAAGGCATCCGAAGGAGCGAGCGAAAGAAACTCCGGCTGAGTATGATTGCCGATAACCGGAGCGCCGGCCGTAAATACCGATCGTTACATTCGCACCGGCGAATTACTCCGCGTCGCGAATTACTCCGAGAAATAAGCAGCCGACTGGTAATTGAAACATCCGTCCTTAATATCTCCGTGTCGGGAGAATCATTAGCTGTAAATCAACTTTATTACCGTGTATTCGCATCGAGCGCCCTTTTTTGCGCGTCTGGAGAGAGAGCGAGAGAGCGAGACGGGCGAGAAAGAGAGGGAGAGATTTTCTCTCCGCGGGCTATAATGAAAACCTTAGTGCCGGTACGTACAGTTTTCGCTCTGCCCGGCTATTAGAGAGGGATAATCCATACGATCCAGCCGTAAATACCCGCTCACGCTCAATCGGAACCTGACGATCTCGCGCGGCTCCCGCTAATGCCGGCGTGCTCGCGTAATCGCGGCACGAGCCGCGACGATGGCGCGTCCCTCGCGGAAATCAATCAACGGCACATGCCGGCCTTTTCGTACCCTATCGAACTCTTTCCACGCGTCGAACTCCCCGACTACGCACACGCGCACAGACTATGCTGTCGGATCTCGCGCCGGCCTCGCGTGCGATTACAGAAGCGAGCCAAGTGTCGCGTGTGATGTTGTTCCTGAGACGTCTTCCACCCCGCTCGACTGGTTCTCGCCGCTCGACGATACCAGCGGCTCGATGTTACTCGATAATTAAATTTACTATCGCTTCTCGCTATTTATTGCTTCTAATAACACGATAACACGCGCATCGTTCGTTTCGTGACGATACGGCTAATAGCAGCGTAAGCGAGCCACGCGTCTGGGAACGTTCTTCGTGTTTGGCCTCGTGTTCGAGCGAGATCGACAATCCTTACAGAAAAGTATTGCTGGTAATCACTAATGGGAAAAATGCTGATGATTAATCATCGGTCGGTACTTCGGCGACTCTTTGGCGATTTACTGCAGGATTACCGCGTTTACAGAATGCTGTTAGCGGCAAAATTATGTCGGTTATGTACAGAGATGAAACGAACTAATTTAGACTTTGGCCTTCCATTCTAAACGGTAATTCTTTCCAAATTTCACAATAAGCGCATTCAATGTCAATAAATGTAATTAGTACGTCGATTATATAATAATAAATCACGTCCACGAACAAGGTGGCAACGTTCATTCAATCTGAAAAAAGAAATGATATTATGGGTACTCCTGACATATTCTAATTGCGTAAAGGTAATTAGAAAAATTGTCAAGTTCCTACCGTCGAGAGAAGCCGAGGGCTCGAATCGTTGGAGGTTATCGAATGAAAATGAGGGTTACGGAACGAAAAAACGCGACGGCGATGATGATGATGCAAAGGAGGGAAACATCGTCGTCAGGGCATAAGCGGACCGCGGGCGGGTAATGCGCGAAGCCGTCGAGAGTCGTCGGCGAGCATCTCGGGCGTATTCCGCTCCGAACGTTTCCAGAAACTAAGGGATGCTACACGCACTCAGCTCGCGGCTGTACAAAATCCGTGACGACGGTGTGCGCGCACACGCGAGCGAGCGAACGCGGCGGTATCGCCGGAGCGGGACAAGGTATTCCCTATGTATTCCGCGCGCAGCGCGCCGTAACGGGAGAGGCGTCTTTACCGCTGCATTAACGGTCGCCGTTTTTCGCGCAAGTGAAAACACGTTTCTACGCTCTTACAATCGCACTTGTTAAATGACAACGTTTCATTAGAAATGATTACGCACCTGGCGGACGCGTACTCTTTTTGCCGTGTCGCGCGGCGCGGAGCAACGAAAGCATCGCGCGGCGGGTACATCGATACCCGCCGATCGTTGACTCTCGTCGGGGCTCTACCCCTGCGAGTGGCCGATGGTCGCCGAGGTGTCGGGATCGGCACGCGGAGTCCGGTCGCGCCGGCACACACACGCGTGTGTCCACGTGTGTGCGTGATACAGGTGTCTCGGGACGATTCGTCGACGCGAAGAAGGTGGGTGGTCCGTAAATTTGTTCCCTTCGGAGTCTTTTGGAAGTTTAACAGCATATCCCAGTAAGAGGAACGTTAAATCAATTCTCGAAACGTTGATTTTACGCGGACTTTACGAACATTTTGACGTAATATTTTGTGAATGCTTTTAAACTGTTACACTTGATAATATGTTTTTAAATGTTACAATTCGTGTAGGAACATTGTTTTTAATGTTCCGGCCAAACATTTGTCAACAGTAACGTTGTATACAATATTAAAAAGTACATACTTGAAAACGTTACATGTTAAAAAATATCATCATGGAGACGTGTATCGTAAGTTTGTAATTGCTTCATATCCACAAAATGTATTTACTTTATATTATATTAACCATTATCTTCCTAACAATATTGTTATGAACCAATTACCTCAAATGAGCGAGAAGGAGAGAGCTTTGTCAGTTGGAATGAAAGGACTAACAAGGACCTTTGCACGAATGTATTGTGTGTTGCGTGTGTGTATGTGTGTGTGTGTGTAATATAAAATAATAAATATATAATATACTATATATAACAGTAATACATAAAAGTATATATATATTAATATATAAAAGTAATATGAAATCAAAACTAACCGTACGTAAAAAAACCCAATAAATCAGTACATATATTTATTTATTTAAACTGCAAAATTTATTTAAACTGCAATCCATATTTCCAAATGTGTACGTCTATAGGGGAAAATAATATATTTCAATTTATTGGTACATATACAACGAAAAAATTTTATAGTAAAAGTTACCGCAGAACGTTGCAATCAAGGGGAGCATGTTAATTTTCTGCCATAATTTGTATTACTTCCTTCTCACGTGTGCTATTTATATTTTAGGAAATGAAATCTATCGTTAGAAAGTTTATCACGTTCCTCAGTAAGACAAATTTTACCGTCTATTTCTGCACTATTAGAAAACATAATAAAATTCCGGAGAATTTATGTGAGAAATTTATGTGCTATAATATTCTCTCTCCCCTACGGTTATATTCTCAATTTCGCAGGATGACATCCGCGTGCCGGTTCTCATCTATTTATTCATTCCGAACGAACGCCATGCGGAACCTCCGACGATCTGATCTTCGCCGGCCGATCTCCGTAAAAAATATCTCGCGAATGACACTCGCACCGCACGGCGCAGGAAGCGCGGCGATCGCGCGAAGGACGGAGGGGCTTTACGACTTCTCGGGACTTCGTTACGACCTCGTACGTATCGGCATTCCGCCGCTGTTATTCGAACGTGAGGCATATCGGTAGATGAGTTTCCCATCGTGCGGCACCGGTGGCGGTTCGAATGCTAATGCCCGTCTGCGGGTAGTCGATTGTACTTCTCTCTCTCTCGTGACACGCGGAAATAGCCGCCTCTCTCGGCGTGCTCGCGTGTGCCGATGCTCCGCAGACCGGAGGATCGGGGCCGGCATGGAATAGAGAGAAGAAGCTTACGACCGATTTCACTGACCTTCCTTAACCCTCTCGGCGAGACCCCTATTATACTCCGTATAACCACTGAGAGAGAGGATCCGCGTTAAGCTTATTACTTAAGCCGTCGCGAACCCTCCCGGCGAAAAATCCGGCTCGACGGTCGAGTCGCGGTCGGTTGTCGGTCGGGTATGTGAACGTTGACGCAACGTTGGCGCGTCGATTCACGGATTCATAGGCCGGTATTTATAGTCAGATCTTGTATTTAAGGAGGTTCGAGAAGGCTTGGTCAAATATAAACCCTATAAGCGCATGATACAAAAATTGATCGAACTAACAATGCGTGAAATACAGAAATGTCAATAACGTTTAACGCATCGTTTCCGAAATGTTTCATTGTAAACTTATATGGTGCGAGTATATGTAGAAATCTCATTTCTTCTAATTTGACAGTTTATATATAAGATGGAAATTTGAAGAACCGTCTTAATAATAACATTAATATTTAAATGTATTTGAGTGAAGTATCAGTCTATCGGCTTTGAAACGACGAGACCCGAAAGAGCATCGATGATTTTATTGAGTCAAAACCGCCAAGTTCTTTCCGCGAGGGCATTTATCAGCTGTCCGATAGACGGAGTAAAATCAAAGAAAATAATGGCTAATTATTTCGAACATTGAACCTGTACTTGACTTTTTGTAAATAACACTGAATTTCATGAAGAAAGGAGCACCGAATTAATTTGTACACCCAATAATTACACATATCAAATACTTTTCTCTCAGTGCACACGGAAGAAAAATTAGTCCTAAGTCAAGAATAGATATCCTAAAGCAAGAATATTATAATCTTAAAAGATTTTTAGTCTTGAATTGAGTTCAAGTAATACTTGAATCAATATAAATTCAATCAAATCAAGACTAAAAGTCTCCAGAAGACTATGATATTTTTGCTTATATATGAGAATATCTATTCTTGATTTAAGACTCATTTTTTCCCCGTGCGTGAATACCGTCCACATAGCCTGTTTGTCGCTTTTTTTCGCGGAAATTGCGCTCGTACGTAGTCAGTTCGTTCACGTCCTGCACTTGATGAAAAATTACGGTCAAACCTCGCAGACGGACAACACGATAATCCCGATTTCGCGAGCAAGGTCGCGGGAAAAGGGTCTCTCGCCGTCCCACATCGGTGATAGGCGTCTCGCGCACGCGGGAATCCGAACAGCGCACGGTGAAGGAACAACGGGAGAGGGCACGAGGTAGCGGTGAGGTGGGAAAGAGGAGACGACGGGGCAGACGAGGCGGGAAAGGGGGCCTTGAGTGAGAGAGAGAGAGAGAGAGACGCGGTTAACGGTACCTAGAGTAGGCACGAATATCCGCTTGCAAGCTGTCGCAGCTCCCGCCGCGTCATCGTATTGTCATCCGGGTGGAATTGCGAATTTCCACTGGTCGCCAATCTAGTCGAAGATAAAGACGGAGGGAGAGAAAAGGAGAAAGACGAGAGAGGAGAGGAAAAAGAGACTCACCTAAAAGGGGGGGGCCACCCTTCCGTGCCGCGCCCGCGAAAGACCCCGGTCGCGGTGTCCCGATTATTTTAGGCGGTCAAATGATTATTACACGAGGAGAATATCGGCCCGGACCGCGCATGCAAGTGTGAGGAAGAGAGATAGATAGAGAGAAAGAGAGAGAGAGAGAGAGAGACTCTGGGAAGAGAAGATTCCCCTCAAGCGCAGCATTAACAACATAAAGCAAACTAATAGTTTTGATAAACGAACAAGGGAAAGAGGAAGAAAAGATATGATATGATATACAAGTGCATACCGAGCAAGACCGAAAGGTTGGATAATACGTTATATTATAACAGCCGCAAATTCTCTAAATAATAAATAAAGCGAAGTCGAAACACATGCCAATACACATGCGTGTGACTCCGGGAAGAAAAAAGTCAAATGCAAAAAAGAAAGTACGACTATACACGACCGCCATCCGCTCTTCGCTCCAGAGAGAGAGAGAGGGAGAAAGAGAGAGAGAGAGAGAGAGAGACCGTTATTCATTAATTATAGGATATCTACCGGGCGGTCGCGCCATTGGCCAAACACACTCGAAATTACGGCCCATTATCGGAATCGACCGGTGGTCGGCTGATCGGTCGGTCGGTCGGTCGGTGCACGGCTCTAGGGCCTAATTGACCGACAAAAGAAACCGCTAGAAGAAGAGGACGCAACTCGCAAGTCACGAGTCCCCGCGTGTGAGTTCCTGCGGCCTGGTTGTGTGCTGTATACTAGCCGATAATACGCCGTTCTTTCCTTCTTTCTTTTTCCCGCTCGCCCCCTCCTTCTCTCTCTCTCTCTCTCTCTCTTTCTCTCGGTGTCGCTTGTGTTCGTTTGCTGTTCGGCGAGCGCGATTATTAAGACGGCGAATCTGACGGTTTCATCTGCCGATATCTGCCGATAACATCCTCTCCTTGCTCGTTGATGAACGTTTCTAATCAAGGCCGGACAAGACGATACGCGTTTTAATTACTTACCATTAACCTCCGGCGGGATAATGTGTGTGAGAGAGAGAGAGAGAGAGAGAGAGGGGTATTCTTCGGCCAAAGTATTTTAACTTTAGCTGCGCACATTCCGGTCCGGCTGAACATTTCTCGATTTTCTAGTTTTCACATGGCATATTACTTTTTTTCTAAGTATCGGGAAAAATTATATCCTTTACAAGATCGTCTTTGGTAGAAAAACAGAGGTAGATTTTCTCTATCATCTTTTTATGGTCAATTGCAAAAGTTAGTTGACTGGAAAGTTCTAACATTTTGAACTTCAGTAAAACTCGCGCGCCAGTCTCTCTAATTCGCTTCCCCCCCCCCCCCCCCCCC